ACAGACTAAGGCTGTCACAGATGCACACTAGGGTTTGCAGGTTAAAATTTAATCCTGGTCTTAGACATAGAAGTTATTTTTAAATTTAAGTGACACATGCTGCACAACAAACCCCAGGTTCTAGCTTTCACTCTACTTTTGCAGTTAACTACATGCAGTCAAAATTTAAAAGTGGCAAAGGCTAGCAGATCAAATCCATAACATTTTCAAACAGATGAATTTTATCACTTACAATGTCAAATACAAAAAGTGTATGGGAGAAAGAGTAGATTAATACAGGCATTCCTGTATTTTCATTACTGATGGAGGAATACTCCCCAATTGTGAAAAGCTATTGCCACCATCTCTGGCTTCCAGCAGTATCTGTGACACACCTCCAGAGATGAAACTCCTCCACTCTCCAGATGGAATGCTCGCTTTCCTCCGTACTCTGGCAGCTATCCTTACAAAATCATCTCCACCTCTTCCCCCAACTCCTAGCTCTGCTGCAGCCTAAAAGATGGAGACTTTCCCCAATGTGCCTGGGAGGAACAAGTCACCATTTGTCCATAGGAAGGAGAAATGATGTTCTTTGTGTAATATATTAGGTGAAGTGCAGGTTATAAAGGTTTTCCTGGGAAGCCTTTTATAAGAGTTTGTATTCAGGTTCATGAATAACAGTTTATCAAGCTTAACATTATTAATATTTTGGGCTGGATGATTCTTTGTTGTGAACTGTCCTGTGCAATGCGGGATGCTTGGCAGCTTCACTGAACTCTACCCACTAGATGCCAGTAGCACCCCATCCCAGTTGTGACAACCAGACGTGTCTCTAGACATTGTCAGATGTTCCTGGGGGGTTGGGGTAGGGGTGGGGACAAAATAAACTCCAGTTCATAAATATGTAATAAAGAATATTTATATTCAAGAAATTGCCTTTAGTAGGTATAAAGAAAGGCTTAAAGAAAATCTATCCAAACATACTCAGTGAAATGAAATAATCTCAGATTTTGGTTAGGGAAGAAATAATTTATAGTGATCCTTTAATTTGGAGGCAATAAGACAGAAGGTTGGAACCTAGGCTTTGAAATCTATGTCGATATATATTGACTAACTACCTGTGTGATCTTGGCAACCTGTTTAATGCCTCTTTCCTTAGGGTCCTTACCTAAAATGTAAGGATAACTAGTAGTATCTATCTATCTCACAGGGTTGTTGTGATAATTAAGTGACATAATGCACACAATGTGCTCAGCACAGTACCTGAAATGAGTAAGCCTTCTCCACGTCCTTGAACATGTCTCAGGGCGTTCACTCTCGGATGTCCCATGTGCCCTGAACACACTTCTCCCTCCTCTTGCCCTGACTAGTTCCTTCTCATCCTCCAAGTCTCAACTTAAGTAATTCCTCTTAGAAAGGTCTCTCTGTTGGCCGGGCGCGGTGGCTCACACCTGTAATCCCAGCACTTTGGGAGGCCGAGGCGGGCGGATCACGAGGTCAGGAGATTGAGACCATCCTGGCTAACACGGTGAAACCCCGTCTCTACTGAAAAATACAAAAAAAAAAAAAAAAAAAAAAAACTAGCTGGGCGAGGTGGTGGGCGCCTGTAGTCCCAGCTACTCGGGAGGCTGAGGCAGGAGAATGGCGTGAACCTGGGAGGCAGAGTTTGCAGTGAGCCGAGATTGTGCCACCGCACTCCAGCCTGGGCGACAGAGCAAGACTCCATCTCAAAAAGAAAAAGAAAGGTCTCTCTGTCTAATCTCCCAACAGCCAATCTCTATTGTGATGATCAGCCATAGCACTGCTTGTAATACTCACCTTATCTTATAACTTTTTATGTTTCCCTTACTATAAGTTCTATAAAGGCCAGAATCATGTTTGTTTATTCAACACTGTGTCCTCAACATCTAGCATGGTGGCTGGCCCAGAGTAGGGGCTCAACAAATGTAACTATATGAAAGAATTAATGAAGGAATGAATATACAAGGCTTTTATTATATTATCATCCTCATCATCAAGGTTTATACTGAGTAGACTTAACTACTCTCCTGTTTTCTAAAAGTATTTACTTTTTAAATTTTAGGATCAAAATGTCACAGTAGTATTAACGTGAAATAATTACAATAGACCATTTGGTTGAGCATCAACAGTCATGACTGGGGAGCTGTATAAAGCCTAACATTTGCAGGATTACACAGAGCTGGGCAGTCAACCATCCTGGGGGAGTCTCACACTATGAATGACCTGGAAGACCTCATTCTAGGAGAGTGGCCCTGGCAGTTCTCTCTGTCTGTGCCTTGGGAGCCCTGGCTACCACACTGTGGGTGAGACTCAGATCCTCTTCTGGGCCCACTGGGTCAGCCCTCTCTGTACACTCTGGAAGAAGGAATACTAACTTTGTTGCTGGTTCACTAGCAAAGCAATATTTTGTCTTGAAATCAAACCACAGTTAAAGTATATTTGCTTTAAAATAAAGGAAACAATAGTAAAGAAATATTCAGAGAGAGAAGACCAATGCAAGCATAGGGCCACTGATACTTGGAACCATGTTGTTAAAATGAAATAATAAAAAGTTAATAATAAACTTTTTAACATATTATTTTTCATACTGTTAAGGGGGAAAATGGTGAATTGAAAAAGAAATAAACACTGATGACAATCATTTGAACTTTGAGGTGACCAAAGAGATCCCAAGAGTCATTTAATTTTACCCAGCTATTTCAACTATGTTCAAGTTTTCAAAATATCTCTTCTTAAAAAGTGATTTTTTAAAAAGTCATGGATAATGATGGAAAATGAGGGACACCTGTAGAGCTGAATTTGAGACTGTGACAGACCCTGCAAGCTGCTGAAAAATGCTGTTTGACACCAAGACAAGATACTAAAGTGGATCACTAAAGAGACAGCGTGAGTTAGGACCAACCCACGCTATCAGCGCATTCAGTACGTGTTCAGACTAACCTCAAATTAGAAACGTAGCAGACATCATGTATCTGGGCTTTGGAAAAAAGTCTTTGATAAAAAGTCTCATGATATCATTTCAAAAAAGATAGAGAAACATGGGCTGAATGACATTAACAGTTTATTTAAGAGAGATTTCTATGCAACTGAAGAATTGCGCAAAATGCAACCGTGTCCATGTGAGAGCATGTTCTAGAGCTTAGCACTGCGCTGCTGCCCGGTGCATTTCTGGCACCTTTAATGGAAATCTTCTAGAACAGAGGCTGGCAAAAAAAAAAAAAAAATTTCTGTAGCCAGATGGCAAATATCTTAGGCTTACATACAGTTTCCCTCACATGTTTTTCTTGAAAAATAAAAATAAAAATTTTACAATCATTCTTAGCTCTACATGTATAAAACTAGGGCAAGTCATATTTTCCCAAGGGACATAGTTTGCCATCTTCTGTCTAAGGGTGTGTCAAACTTGAGGACATGAGGGAGAATAAATATATTGCTTGACAGAATCAAGATCCATACAGACACTGTGAGGCTCGTGGCACATTAGAACTGGAAGGGACCTGAAACCTAGAGATCATCTGGGCAAAGACCTCCTGATCTAGTCACTGGTCAAACTGGGATATCCTGGGATTATGCGCTAGCAAAAATATATAGAAAAAATTGCATGGGCTTCTATTTGAAGTCCCAGACTCCTAATTATATGAGAACAGGGTGGCTGTTTATGACTTGACAGTTGAACCAGTGAAGGATGGCATTTTAGCCAACGGTCAGCCAAATATGGGTCAAGAGTGTGATGTGGTTCTAAACTCCAGTATCCAGAATAAGATAGCACCTTTCAACTGCTTTCCCTGGAGTGTCATGGCAGTAGTCACTGTTACAGTATGTGAGGAAGGCTGAAGAAATTGGAGGTGTTTAGACTGGAGGATGCAAATAACAGGATTTTACAAACTGCAGAGCACAATAATGTTATACGAGTCAAGAATGAGCTGGTTCTTATTGTGAGCTTTGACTGGGAGAGCAGGCAGCAGGGGAGAGAAGTTCTGGTGACAGCTGCCCATAGTGCCTATGGCTGCTGGGACACTGGATGGAATGTATTTCAGGTGCTTAATTCTCTCTTTAGGTCAAAAAGCATAAAATATTTGTCAGTAGAAGGGTCTATTCATTATTCCTCAAGCAATAGTCCAACATCTCAAGGAAAAGGACGTTTAGGAAAGAAAGCACTATCATTATGACCAGACAAACAATGTGGTCCCAGATGGAAACTGGGGAACTCCACACCTACACTATGCTTAACTCTTTCTTCCCTTATCTGTCCTAAGTCTAACTTTGCCCTCTGTAGATACAACACATCAACTCCTACTAAATCTGCTCCTTTTTGTATATGACAACCCTTGAGATATTTGAAGACATACACTCCCTAAATCTTTGGTGCTTCAGGAAACAGATCACTAACTTCTTCTACAGTTCATTAAATATCACACATGCCATAGTTTCCAGACTGCCACATCCTATGAGATCAATTCATAGTTTAAAAAATTATTTTTGTATGTATGATTCCATTTGATCCTGTGGAGGAAGGGAAAGTTTCATTCTCATTCTTTCTCTAGAGAGAGAGATAGGCAGGCAAGTCATCTGAACAAAGTCCAGGAAATTTGCATAATTTGTCCAAGACATAGAGCTATGGGGTGTCAGGACCAGGATTATTACCACGTCTTTTGAGTTATAAGCCCATGCTCTTCCCTATCCTGTGTTAAAGGCTACACAGCTAAAAGGGACTCAGTGTGGTTTGCAATATGGTAATAGAATCTTCAGCAGCACATACCACAGGGTAAATGTGCTGAATCCTCCTAATAGAAACAATACAAGGGACAGGAGAGGGGTACAAAATGACCAATGTGGGAATCTTTTCTCCAGTTCAAATCATCTTGGTTCTTCTACCCTCTATTCTTCTATTTCAATCCATCATGAAATTTGTAGAGTAACTCCCTAAGACGTAATAATATTTACCAAATAAAACTTCAGAGATATCAAGTTCATACTGACCCAGAGTCCTTTATACAAACCTGTATTTGAAGCTGGAATTGTGGGTGAACAGTTCTCCCTGGCACATGCTTCCATCATGGTAGTTAAAGTCATGGTAGGCACTTGATGACTGCCTAAGAAAATACAAAGTAGTACATAATATAGAGTCAAATATGCACCTGATGAAAACTGAACCTACAGTTCTAAAGATATGTAAATTAAAGCCATTCATACTACAACTTAGCTGTGTTCCTAAAGTCCTAGGAAGTTAGTATGGAATTCTGAACACAGTTTTGCCTATTGAAGCAATTTTATAAATGGAGAATAGGGTCATAGCCCAACCCACTAAAAGCCTTTTATACCTTTTTTAAGTGGTTGAGATAAAGTATTAATACTGTAGACCTTTACAACCATGTGTAACAATGTTTCTATGGGCAAACTCATTCAGGGTTCTGACTTGGGATGCCAGGAACATATTCCCTCAACGCAGTTGGCAGTCCCTGAGCCCTAAGCCACTGGTCCCTACAGCTGAGGCAGGGACTGCTGCTGGTAGTGGTTCTAATGGTCAGGTACAGGTTCTAGGGAACTAAGGGCATCATATGCCTTGGGGAGCAAGAATCTTCCGCCAGATCTGTGTTCAGGATCTTCTGTTCTTCCATAGTCCCCAGAAATCCATCTGCTTCCTGGCTCATCACCTATTTCCCTGACCCAGAACAGAATAGAAAATAGGCACCCTCCTATTTGTATGAAACAATGTTTCATTTTTTAAAATGCTTCTGTTAGTAACAAATATGAAGTAAAGAGGTTCTTCTCAAACCTATTTTTCACATAGAGCCATCAAGGGAAATCTTTATGATGGAGAGACAAGGGTGGATCCAGTTGCAGCTACAAAGGTTGTAGCAGTATTGATGTGCATTTCCCAGCAATGCCACACCATGGTTACCCTGAGTCTGACTCATCAGCTGAGATGGGGTAGAAGTGGCAAAGGAAAGCTGGAGTTTGGAGGAAACATGGGGAGGCAGAGTGAGGCTGAGAGAGCTAGTGTCCTCCCCAGAAAGGGTCTACAGATTTACCTCCATCCCCTGAGGGTGGGCACATCCCCATTATCCCTGAGTTGAGGGTGGGTGGGTGTTGGGGGTTAGAAAGTGAGAGGAGAGGAGTATGCCCTGTGGTCATTCCCTTACTTAAAGCATTCCCTTACTTACTGAAGCATCCTGCTAGGCTCTACAGGCCCAGAGCTGAGGCTTGGGAGAACAACAGTCAACTAGAGGACATGGAGATAAATCTGTGGACCCTATAATTGAATGGAGAGAGTGAAGTACAGATTTTTTTTTTAATGTAATACATTAGAGGAGGAAGAAGTGAATTCTAGGAGGGGGAAAAAACAGAAAGCCTTTTGGAAAAGGGTCCATCTAAAGGAGTCATAGGACTTAGATTCATCAAGGTAAGGCAGGGAGCAAAGGGGGTGATTCCAGGTGCAATTTGTCTGACAAAAGGCGCAGAGGTCAACAAAGGCATGGACCAGCCAGAGTGACCACAGCTACCAGCCACTACTTTAAACCAAGAACCCCACATCCAGTGCAGATCCAAAGGCTGTGAACCAATGAGAGACGATGAGAGCTGTGGTTGGAATGAATAATTTGGGCAGGCAGAAGAGAGGCTGCAGGTGGGGAAGCTACATGGCGGCTCCTGCAGAATTCTGGGTGAGTGGAAATGAAGGTGAGAAACAGAAGGGTGAGAAACAGGAGAGTGGCCCTGAAAATGGGGAAGAGGGACAGGTGTGGGTGAGAGAAACTGTCACCTCCACTTCTCAACACATCCTTCTCTCCAAGTTCACAGACTTTTCTAAGACACCAATTTCCTGATCATTGCTCAAGTGGCAGCTACTTCATCTATCAAGCCAGATTCCTCTGGTCCTACAGGCAGGATCTGTGTTTCCAATGGCATTTGCCAATTACCCATCCTCTACTCTTACAGGACTCTGTGATGGCTTTACCATTCAGCTTTAGAACTCTCAACCTCTCCCCGTTGCTCCCACCAACTGGTTTTCTGATCTTTTCTTCTCATTCGTTAAAGAGTTGCATACTTCTCTCCAAATTTCATTGGCTACCCAGGGGTGTTCTCAATAATGTCACTCAATATACATAGTCAACTTTGCAAGTAAATAGTGTTCAATACATGAAAGAATAAACTTAGCTCTGTGTATCAATAGAGACAATATATGGCATTAGAAATGAAATTTAAAATATTGTGAAAACAAGGGTGTTTTTCCTAGGGCATCATGTCATGTATAATCTCAATCTATGAAACAAACACTCTTAATCTATGAATAATCAAGGGTTTTTAACAGTTAACTTTGTTAACTGTTCCCATATGCTGGGTTTTCATCGTATTTATAAAAGCTTATTTAACAGCATTCTATATGAATGTGCATATATTTTTAATAAAGAGCTTGAAACTTCCGGTCTACTGTTGTCCATTTTGTAAAAAACAAAAAAAAGAAAAAAGGCATTTCTCCAAGGAAAATATTTATATTCATAATACAATGATAACCAAGTTACTTTTTAAAGAGCACAAAATATTTACCACTTGATTCATAAGACAATAACTGCTGAACACATTTTGAATTCATAAATTATGATTCAGCTTTAGACTCAATCTGTACTGAGTTACTCAATGTCATCATGCCTCAAATCTGGTTAAGTAATTAATGTAATTAATGTGGAGGTTTTGGGAAGCAGACAGTCTATATATATATACACACACACATACATACAAACACAGGTCCCTATATTTATACCTGTAAAATTCTGGGAAAAGTAACATTTAAGGAAGAAGAACAAGAAAGACAGTAACAGAAAATACTTTATGTTCTTGTGAATAAAGAATAATACCTAGGTATAAAATTCAGGACAGTCTCAAGTTTAATAACTTCCAGTCCACATATATGATGTTTCCATTCTGTGCTTTGTGACTGAGACTTACTAATAGACTTAAATGCCATAATCTAAGAAATATACTACCATATATCCTCAATTTAGTATTTAAGAAATGTTTGTTAAAGGCAAGAAAGAATACCATTTTCCAGGCATCACTAATTAAATCCTAGTTTTATATTTAATGGCTTGAGGAGAAAGAGTGTCATATTTTGGTTTCCATTCTCTACAACCCATAGTCAACAGAATCACCCAGAGAAACCATTAGCAAAGTGCAGAACTATGATTTCTACCCAGCAAAGCAGGAGAGGAGGAAAAAGAATAATAAACTTCAGAAGCTTAACCAAAACAATACAAGGTAGGAAAGGGGGAAAAACACTTTAGAAAGCTCAATAAATAAAAAAATCAAAATAACACAGAGAGAATAAAGCCTAACACCACAGGAATCACATTGATTATAAATGGATGGTGTCTAACCAGTAGCAACAAAAATAAAGAGAGTATAAAAGTTCTGAAAGTCACACACTGATAGATTTGGCCCATTAATCCCAATATTTTGAGCATGTCTTCTTTGTTTTGCTCAATATTTTGAGCAAATTTCTTATGATCTGGTGGTTTCAAATCAAAGCATTTATCATTTTCAATTATTTAAGTATAATATTATATACTATGATCAAACATGTATGGAATAATGATTGTGAATGATGCTAGCTGTTACTTTTGGGGAGACAGGGAAAAAGAGGAAGAAAAGATTTTTAAAGTTATTATCCTGCACTGAAGTTGTTGACTATCTTTTGGATGGCGGGGTGTCCTCAGCTTTATTGAAACTTTTTACTGAGACTGAGCTAGGATGATGTTTCTTGTGTAAGTATTTCCCTGTACACGCTGACAGCTAATATACAGCCTCAGAGTATTTCACATTCCTGACTCTTAGTAGTAAAGAAACATATTCTCAAAGGAATAAAAGAAAACATTTCCTCCATTCGGGTTTATCTGTAAACATATTCTCAAAGGAATAAAAGAAAACATTTCCTCCGTTCATGTTTATCTGTAATCCTGTTAACAAGCTACACACAAGTCATATCTGCCATCAGAGAAACCTCATTTAGTGGTAATAGCAATACCTGTAACAGGAGTTCGGTTTTTCAGCCTATCAACTTCCATAGTGAAGTCATCCTTCAAAAAAAGGAACCCAATAATGGAAAACAGGTAGACGAGGATGAGAGCCAGGACTGCAGTCAGAATAATAGAGCGGCCATTTCGTGTGACACTTTTTATGACATTCAGCAGAGTCTCTTCTCTGTACACCAAATCAAAAAGCTACAAAGATAAAGAAAACACTAATAAGAAAAGAAGGCATTGGAGAAAAAGGTGAACAAACATAAATATAATTACAAACACAAATGCAAACCATTCTAGTTTATATATAAAGAAATAACCTAAACCACCTTAAAATGAACCAAAGTATTTATTTCTTCTCCAGCTAGAATATATTAACTGTTTTTCTGTAAAGATACATCTAGCACAACATATAATGTGCATCTGTGGGTTTCATAACCAACATAATATCAATTTACTAAAACATTATAGAAATAGCTTAGTTTTACATTTGAATTCAGAAAAGTTATATTGTACTTTACCAACTGAGCTACTTATTCTTTATTTTTGGTCTTACTGATATTCTGCAGTTACTTCTGGAATATGTAAAATGGCTTAAGTGAGAATGCTGAATTAGATCCTCGTAAGTGATGAATAATTGAGAAATTCATTAAATGTATTATTTAATCAAGGGATTACCGGTGAAATTGTAAGAACAGTTTCATGAGTCTGATGCAGTGGGAAAAGTATGAAATTTAAAAATATTTGGAAAATGCAAACATCCTTCCTTAGTAACAGGGTATAACGAGGAAAAAACCTATTACTTTAGTATATACTTGGAAATGGAAGTAGAAACAAAAATATAATATGTAATTTTGCTAATTGACTTTCTCTAATAGGTTACTACCTATTTTGTCTTCAGTAATAGAAAATCTACGCACTAGTCAAGCTTTGTGTTTGCAATCTGTAGTAGACACTAAGGACAATTTAATTTATTGCTACATTATAAAGTTGAAATTATATATTAGAAAGTACATGTTTTATTATTAAAATCTAGTTAAACACAATAAAATCACATTCACTTTTAGAAAGGTATAAATATCTGTTTGGAAATGAATAGTATTTTAAAAATTGGAATAATTGGAGTTTGTCTTCTATCTGTGGGCAGTAATTACAGTTTCTGAACTGGCTGAAATGATCAATTATGACCCTTTCAGGGCCTTGGTCTATTTTTTTTCTGAGTACTGAGGGTTACACAGTTACTGTCCAATTTAATTGTAGTCTTGCAAATAATTGCTGTCTAGATATTAACTTGTTTGCTCACCTTAGGAAACTGCTATTTTATGATGGTTAAATTGTTTTAAAGTCTATTTTGCTATCTATTTACCTCCTGGAAGGAGCAGTCAGCTTTAGAAATAAAGTCAATATTCTTCAGTACAGACAAATTAATTAATGCACATTCAACTTCCAAATTGTCGACATTGTGGCTTATTAAATTTATTTAAGCAGAAAGTTGACATAGTCGAGATTTTTCTTTAAGTTAACTCAGCAGAGGTTTAAAGAAAAAAAAATCTGGCAATGTGCTGTAGTTCAGCTCTAGAGAAGGTTTATAGCTTTCAGAAGCTCCTGGGATGCTTGCTAAAAATGCATACGCCTGGGTTCCATTCTAGGCCCATGGAATCAGAATCTTACAAAAGCTGTTGACATTGGGCAGGCTGATTGTTCTTTCCATTTATTTCTGAAAACAAAATCTAGAGTGTGGTTTTTATTATTCTGGATAAAGGACTGACAATTTTGGGTACAACAGGGAATTAATATTCACATATTTTTCAAATATAAAAAATCTTTAAAAAATATGCTTACATATGATTTTTGGTATTATGTATATTACAATTTTCTTCTAGTACTCTAAACATCAAAATAGACTATATCCTTTTCAGAACCAACCCAATAAGAACAAACTAGCATCAATACTGTAAGATTTGAAAGATAAAAGACCAGAGGAAAATACAATTAGAAAATGGGGTTAATAAAAACATAAACATGAGTACATAATTTCACATGTTTTTCGTATTATCTGATATGGTTTGGCTCTGTGTCCCCACTCAAATTTTATCTCGAATTGTAATCGCCATGTGTCAGGGAAAGGACCTGGTTGGAAGTGACTGGATCATGGGGGTGATTTCCCTCATGCTGTTCTTGAGATGGTGAGGGAGTTCTCTGGAGATCTGATGGTTTTTAAAGTGGCAGTTTCCCCTGTGCTCTCCTCTTTTTCTTTTGCCACCATGTAAGACATGCCTTGCTTCTCCTTCAACTTCCACCATGATTGTAAGTTTCCTGAGGCCTCCCCAGCCATGTGGAACTGTGAATCAATTAAAACTCTTTTGTTTATAAATTACTCGGTCTCAGGTAGTATCTTCATAGCCGTGTGAGAATGGACTAACACATTCTCTGTTTAATGGATCTTGATATTCCTAGTCTCCCATACTATCCCTATCCATTTTATAAACAAGAAAGTTGAGCACAAAAGTATTATAAATTCATCAAATCCTATACATTAAATGGGTATAGCTTTCTGTATGTCAATCATACTTTAGTAAAGTGGTTTAAAAATTATAGAATATTACATGTCAGTCAGGTAAAAGTGCTGGGTATAATAGGACTTTATATATCACAAACAGGTTAAAAAATGAACTTTTTCTGGTGAATCAGGGCAAAAAGAATTCATTTAGATTGTTAGAACAGAAAAAATATCTACTAATGAATAATCTAACTTAACTGCCTATAAGTTTATATGAAAATACAATAGACAAATCTACTCTTCACTGTGGCTCTTTCAAATGTTTGAGGGTATATGGAAAATTGGCCTCATTTCAGTCTTCTCAAATGGGTGTGCTAGATAATAGGGAGGCAGGAGGTGCTGGATTTGTCCCTCATCACTCAGGCAAATTTTTCAACAAAATGTTTTTAGATCTTTAACTTGTTTTCAGGGATCATCTCATTGGAAAATGCTCTCCACTGCATGCCAACTATGAACTGGAAAGATAAATAAATTGTTCCTATGGCATCATGATGGTAACCTGGTAGTGCTTTTTAAGTTTCAAAATATTATCACATATGTGTATTGACTCCTCTCCTGGTTTATGGCTATAAACCAGTACATATGTAGGAAGGTAAATCAGAATTTTTTTAAAAAGCAACCTTTAGAAAGAAAATCTGAAAGAGCTGCTTAGTGAGTTAAATATATGTAGATAAATTTAACAGCAATGACATATTAAACCGAAAACTAAAAGACTGTTCTTAAAACAACTGTCTTTTTGCTATGATTTTTTTTTAATTCCCCTCATTTTACTTACATGCCATTCTAAAGGTACACATAATTTTTGATATTATAAATAAATTACAGTGATTTCAGTACCGAAGAAAATATACTCCTATTTTGTCTCCCACACTCTGTAGGAGAATCTTTAAATGTAAAGGGAAATATTAGTTGGCTGAAAGCAAAAGCAGCCCTTGTCATGTGAAGCCTGGGTCAAGAGGTGGGGTGACTGGTTGCTTCTCAGAGAGGAAATAAAGAACTCCACCACCTGTGTGGTTTCCCAAAGAAAAAAAGACTACGAATGATAATAATTCATGCTTTTCCTAGGAAATTCTAAAAATAACATAATTTGTCCTAAATGTCAGGCTTTGCTCAAAAAAAAAATCAAAGGAAGAGGCATAAGAAGCAGCAGCATTGTGTACTTTTTCAGCAGTGATTGTCCACACAGCGATGTACTCACCAGGAAGCTATAGAAGAATTCATGGACAAAAAGGCCCAGCATGCAAACCAGGACATACGCCACGTGATAGAGAAAGGCCATATCCAGGATGACTGCTCGGTACCCACGGGTGAACGTGCCACGATTTCCAACAAAACTCACCAGAAATACAATTTTATTACAAAGCTAAAGGGAGAAAAGGATTAGAGATTACTGTCTTATTACTGTCTTATTTATCCTGAAACTCACATGAATGAAAATTATTATTCATAAAGTCCATGACTTTTTGACATGGATGAAACTATTATTCATTAAAATCTATGACTTTTTGACATGGATGAAAATTGTTATTCATAAAGACCATGACTTTTTTCATAATTTCTCATTTTATAATTCTTCAGCATTGCTTACAAAGTGGCATGTAAACATTACACATGCAAAACTTGCATCCTTTGCAGCTTCAGGAAGAGAGAGAATGACTAAGAGACTATGCAATCAAGACAGGTCTGGATTTAAATCTTGGCTCTTCTATTACTGTTGTATGACCTAGTTCATGCAGTTGAAGGACTTGATGGTTTATTCTGAAAAACTGGAATAAAAGAATTTCCACCTCATAGAACCCCTCAGATGATTAAATGATATAATACGTATGAAGTCTTTAATACAATGACTCCTAAAAATATTACTTTTATTATATTTTTATAGTAAATGTAATATGTAAAATGTTTTTATTGTGTTGTAAATATAACAGAAAAATATCTTTTCAGAAAATATCCAGAGATCTCTGTTCTTGATTTTATGTTTTTATTCTGGACTTTGTCTACTGAGTAGTATTTTAAACAAGTAAGTGATTAAAATTATTTTTGCATTTAATTTACTTTATATACATAGAAAATATAAATATACTTACATACCTGAGTCAAACTAATGTATGTATATATTTTCTAAGCCCTATGTGTGATAATAATTCAATAAACATTTTGGAGTGTTTATTACGCTTCTGACCATGTACAGTATTTATATTCAAACCACATTTTATATTGCCTTTTGTGGCATAATTTTGGAATGTAGAAATTTATACTGAGATCCTTTGGCAATAACAACGATGTGTGTGCACTGATTTATAAACTTAGCACCATCTATTTAGTTCTAGAATCACTGCAGTAATTATAAACCAAAGAGCCAATTTTGTGTCTTAGTCATCAAGGAAAGAATTACAGATTTCAAAGGTTTACAGTTTGCTCTTCTTAATTGTTCTGAGTTCTTTAGGTTATCTAATGGAACCATATTTGTCCTTAAATGTCCAGTCCTAACTTTGGAAAAACAGGTTGCTCTTTGCAACATTGTTGATTTGTTCAATATATACTAACAAATTATGGAATGATTTTTAAATAACATAAGAAGGACCATAACACTTTGAAGTAGATGCAAAATTTGGGGGATCGGAAAACCTTTTCCTTTCCATTTCTGAAGTTCAAATCAGTACAGATGAAGTGAGAAATGGGTTACTACTACATGTTTTGAAGAGCCAACCAAATTAACACAGCAACTAAAAAGGCCAAAACTTTCCTAAATTTTTCCCCTGCTGATTAAGCATCCTCTCAATAATCAATGTTATTACTTCATTCATGTCTTACTTCACTGTTTAGTGTTTCATCATCAATATTTTATGCTATTATTAAGGATAGCTGTAGCAGAATGGATGCCTTTATATTTTCAGCCCAAGAGCAGGTTTAATATTATAAGAACTTATTATTTTAAAACCCAGGAAATATATAAAAATGCTAATCTATATGACATATTTAACAATAAACACCCCTGAAAATGGTGAAAAAGAGTGTCCAGAAGAAGACTACTCAGTAGTTAATTATTTAAATTGTTTTGAATGCCCATTATTATTTAAATTTGTACTATTTACCTTGATTCACCCACCAGAGTTCAATATGAAATAGAAATAAGTTGTATAACAATAAAATTAATAAATGGAGTCATGAATTTTCAGAAAGATGAATATGTTTAAGACACATTGTTTATATGATCTCTAATTCTCTAAATGAAATCATAAAAATGATGCAGAAAACCTATTTATAAGCTCCATATACTGAAGAAAAAAATACACTGAATTTTAATTATCAAAAAGAACAATACGTTTCATTTCTCAAATAATGCAAAAACAAGGCTACATTTCTTCCTAAAAGAGACTCCACCATTTTCACCTGAAAAATAAAGATTTGCCTAATTTGTTTTCAGGTTTTGGTTTTTGTTTTATTTTTGAACCTTGATCTAGAGCTTGACAAATAGATTCCTGTTCTCTTCACTAAGTCTTGACGTGGAGTGGAGTTGATACTGACAGTGGCGTCTACCTATTTCTGCTGAGATCAAAAACAGGGAATTTGGTGTCCTTTTGTTTTAAAGTGTTCATGTGAAGGGGAAATATGTGCAGGAATAAATGATTTGGGTGGGAAAGAAGTTGAACTGTGAATTCTCCTTTCTTCATGAAATTTACAAATTGTTTTCATACAGAATTTTCCATGAAAGCTTGGAATATTTATGCCAACAATGAGCAAGTTGCTAAAACAGTCTCCCTTTTCATGTCATTAAAAAGTGGACATTGTCTAACCAGTCCTTCATTTGTCAATGCCATTATAGCAAGTGTCCATGTGGGTGACGAAAAGTGGATGGTGTGCCCAGGAAACTGGGCAAGATGGTCACAAGGCTCTTCTGAGCTGGTGCTAAGAGGTTCCTCAAGTCAACACACAAATGTCAATTTGAAGGACCATAACTGTCCTATATATATTTTTTTTCTTACTCTGTCTATTATTCAAAGCCATCCCTGATACAGTTTTCGTTGGGGATGAGGTGAATTGTGTGATGGTGGGGAAAGGGATGGAACTGAAACAGCATCAATGCAAGCTTTGGGACAGTTTTTAAAAAATGATAATACACCATCCAAATGATTTACCAATAGGTCTTCTGAAAAAAAAAGCAAAATTAATGTTTGTTTAATTAATGTATACTAAAGTGAGTTCATTACATTTATTTAAATTTACTTAAATTATCTATTTGCGAATTATGAAATCATTACTAATTATTTACTAAACAACTAAATTACTTACTAATTATTTACTAAATAATTAATATATTTAATTAATTTAATTAGTTAACAATATAGTAATTAATTAGTAAATAATTTAACTAATTAAACTATAAAGTGTATATGAAAATACTACTTATTTAACCAATAATGTAACGATATTACTGAATAATAAAATGCTACTTTATTGAATAATTTAACTAGTTAATTAGATACTTTATTAGTTAAATAAGTTATTCAAGAAAGTAGTGTTTTCATATATACTTTATAGTTATTGATATGTCTTTGCAGGACTTTTAACAGTACAGCGTAGTGGAAAGACACTGAATTCGAAGGCGGGTTATCTGGTTCCAGTCTTGGCTCTGCCACTAATTTCTTGCTTTGGTAAATCCTCCTGGTGTCTATAGGACTTTGTTTTCTCATATCTAAAATGAAATGCCTAGAAGGGAATAATCCTTAAGCTCCCTCATAGCTGTAGAATTCTGTGTGATATCCTTTACATGTTACTATTTTACTTGATCACAGACAGTTATAGCTGCTTTATCTTTGTCTTTACTTTATTCATTTGGTGTTATTTGGTACTCCATCACTGATCAAGAATTCTATCCCCATCTTACATTGTTTCTATGGGAAAACATGACCTATTTTTTAGGAATAAATCGCATAAGAAAAAGACTGTCTACTTATTTATTGAAAGGTAAAACTGAATTTATGATTTTCAACTCAATTACCATATTTTCATCAACCATGTAAGTTAAACTTCTTACTAAAAATGAGATGGTTTGATTCAAAAATCTCCATTTCAGGGGCATTACATCTAAGGCAGGACAAGGTTCTAAGATCAATGTGTAAGGCAAAATTTGCATGCAGTCAAAATCACCCTGGAAATCTCTTAAATTGCTGACAAAACAGAACAGCAAGCACAGGTCATGTAAATGGTAGTGTCTCTTACTAAATTCAGCTCATCCTACTTTAACCCCAACACTGCAGCGGTTTTCTGTTTCTGCAACTAGAAGTAGTTAGGAGCATTCAGTGACCATATTATGTGAAAAAGAGTGTGTGTGTGTCTGTGTGTGTGGAGAGAGAGAGAGAGAGGGAGAGATAAAATGAAATTTGTTTACTCTGAATATATCATTGAATTTGTGTAAGTTAAATGAATGTACGGTGGAACTCAACCTCACAAATTAGCAGTAACATGAGACCTCCCAGAAAGCTATCTACAGGTAAGTAACTAGGGACATTACCCTATTAAATCTGAACACAGTGGCTCATTGTTAGTAGACTAGCTATCTGCTAAGCTCCATTTGCTTCTTCTCCCTGCAAATGGTGAGACCAAGTTATTAAATGAATTACACATTTCCAGGTACTATTAGAAAGGAAAAATCATTATAGATAAGAAGTTTAGAAGATATTAAAAGATCTTTTGCTGATATTTTACTACATTGTTATTTATTTAAAAGTCTGAACAACAAAAATTAATGAAGTGGTTAAACAGATTATATAACACCCATATGACTGGAAATAACAGTTATTAAAATGAGATTTACAAATAATTTTAATGGCATGAAAAAATATTAAGTGACCCCGAATTTATAAAATGTGTGCTTATATTTGTCAGAATAATATATTAATTCCCATTACCAATAACCAACAATGCAGTGCAGAGGGAAGAAAACTAGACTGGGTTATAAGATGTGCTTTATAACTGAGAAAAACACACTTGAATTTTTAAAAATATCTCAAATATTGAGATCACTTCTGTGACAAGGCAAACTAGTTGAAATCTAGACCAACTGCTAGTTTTAGAAATGAATAAAGACAATAAAAAAGAAGCCAGTACTAAGTGGTTGAGTAACATAACACAGGTTGAGGATTTTCCTCCCTCTTGATTCCTTTTCCAAAAATAAGACTTTCTGCATTGGCTTAACATTGTGAAAGACAGAGTCCAGAAAAAACTCCCCGAGAACCAAAATACAAATGTTTTTACAATCAGAATAAGAATGTTTTACAATTAAAGGGTGCTTCTTATCACCGTTACTAATCTTTTCTAAATCTTTTCAACTTACCTTCTCAACAACCCAGTGAAGATAGATCAGGCTTTAGCATCTTCCCTTCACTAATGAGAAGAATGAAATTCAAAGTCTTGCTGATTTGCCTAAAGTCTAGAACTCGGATGGTCATTAAGGCAAAACTGTCAGGTAGATGTCTTCTTCTGTTTTTCTTATTTCTGATACCTATACTTTTAGCATTTATAGTTTCACCTCTTACACAATGCAAACTTTTAAGTGTAAATAAATTAAGTTAATAAATGTACTAAAACTTAAGGTAAAAAATATGACTAATTGATGTTTTCATGTATTTATTTCCTACCTCCTGGGTAATAATAAACCATAGATAACTTTGTAGTGAACTTGTTTTTTGGTTTTTGTTTTTTCCTTTTTGAGACGGAGACTCGCTCTGTTGCTCAGGCTGGAGTGCAATGGCACGATCTCGGCTCACTGCAACCTCCACCTCCTGGGTTCAAGTGATTCTCCTGCCTCAGCCTCCTGAGTAGCTGGTATTACAGGCACAAGCCACCATGACCAGCTAATTTTTGTTTTGTTTTGTTTTGTTTTGTTTTTGAAACAGAATCCCATTTTGTCACCCAGGCTGTAGTGCAGTGGCCTGATGTCAGCTCAGTGCAACCTCTACCTCCTGGGTTCAAGGGATTCTCTGGCCTCAGCCTCCCGAGTAGCTGGGACTACAGGTGTGCACCACCACGCCATACTAATTTTTATATTTTTAGTAGAGACAGGGTTTCACGATGTTGGCCAGGTTGGTCACAAACTCCTGACCTTGCGTGATCCGCCCACCTCAGCCTCTCAAAGTGCTGGGACCACAGGCATCAGCCACTGTGCCCAGCAGTGAACTTGTTATGTTAAAATGAAGGTAGACGATACTCACTAAAACATTTTTATTTTATTTTTTGTAGAGATGAGGTCTCACTATGTTGACTACGCTGGTCTCGAACTCCTGTCTTCAAGCAATCCTCCTGCCTCAGCCTCCCAAAGTATTGGGATTACAGGCATGAGCCATAGCACCCAACCTAAAACATTTTTATTAATCCACATAATATTAAAATTATAGATAAAATTTTTTTCTATCTATATCTACAATATAAAAATGACAATTATTCCATTGAATGTGTTTATCCCAAATTAAAGTTGATTTTTTTTTTTTTTTTTGGTCAAAATACTCTGAGCAGCCAGACACAGTGGCTCATGCATGTAATCCCGGCACTTTGGGAGGCCAAGGCGGGTGGATCATGAGGTCAGAAGATCGAGACCATCCTGGCTAACATGGTGAAACCTCGTCTCCACTAAAAATACAAAAAAGTAGCTAGGCGTGGTGGCAGGCACCTGTAGTCCCAGCTACTCAGGAGGCTGAGGCAGGAAAATTGCTTGAACTGGGAGGTGGAGGTTGCAGTGAGCCAAGATCACGCCACTGCACTCCAGCCTGAACGACAGAGCGAGACTCTGTCTAAAAAAGAAAAAAAAAAAAATGCTCTGAGCTGATAAGACCATAATGTATCATTTGATTGTGCAAATAGATGTTCTATTCTGTGAAGGTCATTAGAGTCCCCAGATTTCTACAGTTAATAAGGGAGAGATGTGGCATATCTACATGTATATTCTTTCTCATAAATAAAGTGAAATATAAAACTTGCCTCTTCTATGAAGAGTCATTTGCTATAGCGGAATTATTTTCACCAAACCTGGCAAAAGCTATCTTCTTATCCTCTCCCATGAGGGGGAAAAATACACCAAATGTCTTTGGTTTCCCCTAATAGACATTAGAATGTTATTCCTTATCTCTTTATATATTCTTGGTCCAAAAACAAAGGAAATGCAAATCGGTGAGTATGACACATCAGCTTCTGGATGGCAAGAACCATTTCCTTTATCGTCTTGGTATTTTTAGTGTCTATTATATAACAGAGGCCCAGTAAATGATTATTATTTTTGGCCCAACTCTAGCTATTATTTCACTTTGTCAGACCCATATTTTTTTTTCACTTGGATTTATGTCTTCTTGAGGGCCAGTTACCAGTTTACAAATATTATTTGCTTCTTCAAATAATATAGTTCAACATGCAATGTATGTTTTTAAAGAAAAAAAAGTCAAACACATAGGCTTAGAAAAATTTAGACAAATTCATGAAGATTCTCTAATTTGCTTGTTTGGTAATATGTAAAATTAGCTTATTTCCAAGGCATTGAAAGTACATGTTCAGTTCATGTAAACACTTTCTAAATGTTTCAATGCCAGCTGTTAAAGCAGAGAAACACGGAGCTGGGAAGGAGTAAGGCAGGTAGGATTACATTTATAAATGTGACAACTTCTCCCCTCAAGAAACTTACAGAATAATATACTTGGAATTTTACAAAATTCTTTACTGATAGACTTCTTTGTAGGTATAGTACACTTCCCTTCATTGACAATGATTGAGGATAATTGGCAATTTGGTTGCCTGAATGTTGTAGCTAATTGGGAGCTGTCAAATACATTATATCTAATTTTTGAAGAATTGTAGTAAAATAGAGGTCAGAAACACAGAAACACAGAATTGGCCATATTAGCTCAGCTTTATAATTCTTGAAAGTTTGGTTGACTATTTTATTAATTCATTTTAATAAATAAATATAATAAATACATTTTATTAATCAAATATTTGCTAAATATTAAATAATTATTATTAAATCTTTGCTAAATATTAAATATTTATTATTAAATATTTGCTATATATTTTATGTGCAAGCCACTGTAAATATATAAGAATACAAAGATAATTGTTCATTCATTCATTCACTCACTCATTAATTTATTTATTTAGGAAATATTTACTGAGCACCTATAATGTTCTTGATATTGAATGATCAATCCTTAAATATAGTAAAATGTAGTAGGGGAGATTAGTCCTAATTACAGATACCAGAATATAGGACATTACATTGGAAACCGAGGAAAAGATCAAAAGTGCCTAGGTATTCAACACACAGATTAGCAATACTTATTTTCTTACCTGGTCATTTGTTATTTCGTCAGCCTGATGGTTTTACCTTTTAATATCCCTGTATGGCTGTGCCATGCATAATGTTGGCTAGTCCCTTCAAAATTGTATTTCTCGGGTAAAATTATTTCTATAAATGTATCACTTGCTTTTTGAAATACTACTACTCTGGTTTACTTATTCTAAACTCACCTAACTCAAGCTTAACAATGTGCTTCCTTATTCTAATATTTCAAAATTTGGTAAAAAAAATTCATCATATCTATGACTTTCATCAGTTTATAAAATTTGTTCACATAAAAAGAACCCAATTTAGTACTTTCTCATATAGAAATCCTTTTTCTTAGGTCATTTGATGAAAGGTGCTCACTTTCAAAATTCTATTGAACATCATTTAATCTTTTTTGGATGATTTACGATGTCACTTTGGAATATTAACAATGGCTCAGTCATTTTTGTCAATAGCTGTGGGTACAGGATGCAGAATGCACTAAAATTGAATTGGATTAAATTGATGGCAGAACTGGGTCATTCCCCAAATGTTACTTTCTTAAATATAGCAGTCTTTTACCTATCATTTTTTCTTTCACTCTAAATTAAATTAAAAAATGTACAAATCATGCTCTGGTTAATTTAGATTTATAATAAATTAGAATTCACCATGCATACATGAATGAAAAGCATATAGTTATATTTTTATATTTCATACATTTTTAAACTAATTCTGTAACAGTATAAAGCTAAGTAAAGTACTTACATTAGCTGCACCAAGAAGTATTAAGGTAGGCCCAAGACCTATTGTGTATATTGATCTGAGCATTATTGATACAAGAAACGGCCGAATACCCACAGGCTTGGAGAAGAAAAACAGCATAGATGTGCAGATCGCAACTGCTATCCAAAGAAGAACCGAGAACAATGGAGAAAGTGTACCTGTAAAATGTGGAAAAAATGTATTGTTATTAAGAATAAAACTAAAAAATGGTAAAATATTTGCTGCTCTACTTTATATGCTATCATTAAGTCAAAGCCATAATCCACTAAATTTCAAAATGACCCCATCTACATTCTTCATATTTCAAGGAAATGTCTTTGAACACGTTACTCATTATTACACTTCCAGAAAACCTGTGATTACTTTCAAGCTACTTAAATACTCACTAATGTTCCTTTTATTAAGTCAGACAATTGTTCATCTTTATCTCATATGAGGATGATTCTCTAAATACTTTTGATAGACATCTCTCTCAGGAACCTTAATTCAAAGTTTATGATTAATGACCATTAGGTATATAGCTAAATCATTAAAAAATTGAATTCATACCTTGTCTTGTCCTATTAGTATCAAGTTTCCATATTCTAGATTCCTCTGAAGAATCTAGTAGAATAACCTTTATAAAATAGACACACGCTTTAACTGCTAAACACACATGCATAGATATGTGTATGAATATGCGCAAGAGTGTGTGTATTTGAAGGCCAACTCAACTTCTTAAAATGGTTAGCTATTTAATCATCAGAAAATTCACATTCCAAATGTCTTAAAAAACAAACTCCGTTACACATAAGATTTCTTAGAAACTCCCCAAAAGAGAGGCTCAAAAATATCCTTTCTTTAATAAGTAGTACAATTCATTGACATTTGCGCTGACATGTGCATTCAAGGAATCCTTTCCTGAAGGTCATGTGGTGCTGCATTTGCAGAAGTAAATTAAGAGGCAACATTCTTGGGCTGATAGGATCTGCTCTGGGGCCTCAAATGCATGTCTATAGGCTGACATAGAAAGGAAACAACAAAATGGAGATTTTCCACTATGTCCTCTGGTAAATATTCAATAACAGTCTTATTCTTTTGGCCACACCTCTTATCTTTATTTATAAAATTTGCTACTGCATGCAAAACACCTCAAGGACTTGGTGTGCATAGCTTTTGTACTGTCATCAAAACTCTGGGATTATTTGACTCCTTTAATGAATTCTGTATAAAACTCTTAGTTCACAGTGTGTGCTAACATCTCAGAAATAGGCAGGAAGATCCTGCTAGTTGTTAAAAGACAAACAAAAAATCAGATAATGAACAGCATGTTTACTTTTGCAAAGTTTGTTCTTATGCTGTCTCTGAAAGCACATAATGATGAAAGGAGGTTGGGAAGAGAGATGTGATATCCCCCCCTCACCAAATTTATAATCTCATAAGATTAATTTGGAGATGGGGAAAGAAAAAGGGTAAACTGCTCTGAAAGTTACCTTCAATTTCTGTCCTCTGGCAATGCTAACATACAGGTACCCTACTCGCATTTATGATGATGTCGGCTTGTAAGCACTCTACATCTACCAAAATACAGACTGACCACCAACTGCCTTGACCTCACAGATCTCAAACAGCCATAGAGTAAGTAATGCCTTCAACTTTCTCTCTTGCTTACTGGGACTTGAGACTCCATCAGAATGTAAACTCTAAAAGGATGAGGGCCATCCCTAGGCTTATTGCCATGCCTGTTACACAACAACAAATAAAAATTTGTTGATTGAGTAAATAAACAAAAATATATTCTGTGAGTTTGTTTTGAATAAATAACAGTCTCCAGTTATCAACTCCCCAAGCCACACAGCTTAGGTTTTAAGTTCACTAGAACTGACAACGTCTTCAAGGCACATTTACATCTGACTTTTCAGCATAATTCATAAGCAATGTCTTGGTGACATTCTTATTCTAGAATAATTTGGCATAGATAGTCACATTGTGCATCGTCACTAATTCCTGATAAACTATCTACCTCTTTACTATTCTTTTCAAGACAATATCTGGTTTGCTGAGATTTCCCCTTAATCAAACAGAAATTATAGTCATACAATTAAAATTGGGTGTTTGATCCCTTTGTGAAAAGGACTCAAAGAATGTCTAGTATAGTAGCTAGCACATAGGTTCACACTAAGTATGTATTTGAATGAATAAACTCAAACGTTATTTAAAACAGCTATTGACCGGCCAGGTGCGGTGGCTCAAGCCTGTAATCCCAGCACTTTGGGAGGCCGAGACGGGTGGATCATGAGGTCAGGAGATGGAGACCATCCTGGCTAACACGGTGAAACCCCGTCTCTACTAAAAAATACAAAAAACTAGCCAGGCGAGGTGGCGGGCGCCTGTAGTCCCAGCTACTCAGGAGGCTGAGGCAGGAGAATGGCGTAAACCCGGGAGGCGGAGCTTGCAGTGAGCTGAGATCCGGCCACTGCACTCCAGCCTGGGCGACAGAGCGAGACTCCGTCTCAAAAAAAAAACCAAAAAAACCCAGCTATGTTTATAATTCTTTAAGAATGATCATATTGGTTTCTATCTGAAGATTCAATGCTAAAAAGAGAACTGAAGTCTGACAAACTCTAGAGTAAAGACAGTACAGATTTTCTTTGAGTCTTGCTCAAAGTCTTGCTCACCTGGCTAAATTTTGTATTTTCAGTAGAGTTGGGGTTTCACCCTGTTGGCCAGGCTAGTCTCAAACTCCTGACCTCGGGTGATCTGCCTGCCTTGGCCTCCCAAAGTGCTGGGATTACAAGCATGAGCCACCTCGCCCAGCCGACAGTACAGATTTTCAAAGCCATTCTTTTCCCATTTCTCTCCTTAATACTCTATATATGTATCCATTTTCTATAATAAGCATGATATTATTTTAATAATACAAAAAGTTTTATAATTTACCCTATACATTTATAAATCTTAGAAAGTATGAAGTTTATCCTTTATGAAAGAAAATCCAGAAAGCAAAATTGCAAGCTTCAATCCAGTTCACATCATGGAGCTCTGCTATCTACCTCATGCAGACTCTATAATTTCCTGTACGGAAAATGCTGCTTCTTAATTCCCTGTTTCTCTCCATCCCTCTGCCTCCCAAGTAGCCTTATGAGATCTTTCTGTTTCCTCTACCTCAGTCCAGCTAAAGTAGATATCCACTCAGAAATCCCTGGGTGGCCTTTACTATTGTGCCTTATTCATTTCTTGGTCCCTTAACTAGACTATGAACTCTTTGAAGACAAGGACAAGTTTACTAATCTTTGTATTTTACAATCTTTGTATTTAACAGTACCTGGCACATAGTGGCACTCCATCAACAGTTAAGTTGAAGGAATTGAAATCACCATGAAGAACTCATTTTCTTTAACACAAAACACTTGATGGAAAAAAATAATTACACTACAAATTTTAATATAATTTTAAAAAATCACATGCTATCTTGGTATAAGAAATTCCCATGGCATCAATTTTCTCCACTAACTAGTCTGCCTTTGCCAAATGAAATCCAGGATAGGGGTATCTGGCGTGGCAGCCATCAGCTTCTGAGTGGACTCCCAGGACATTCCCAGCACCAGAAGCTGCTGCTTCAGCCACAACCAGTGTAGCCTCATTCCTCAACACTGGCACTTTTCTTTTTTAGAGAAGCATATGATAAACAAACAGCCACAAAAACCAATCAGCCAAAGAAACCCAACTGAAAACCTTTAGCCATAAAAAATAGGCCCTGTACTCCTGAACAAATTGAAACCAAACTCTTCAAAGCCTGGCAATTAAAGGAGATTCTCTATCTGCAGTAGAGGGTGAAGAGTGTCCAACAGGCTGGTCCTCTGAGAATTATCTCTGCCTTAAATGTCTCCTTTTGGTTATTGTACCCCACTACCTGGTTGAAGAGGGAAACTACTCTCCCAGTTAATATCATAACCCAAGTGTGGATCAAATATTTGGGCACAAGAAACTCCTAGCAGTTCAGGTGTTCAGACTGGAAAATATACTTGGAGGAAGCATACATGGCTCCTTCCCTCTGCCAGTCCCTCTGTTCTCACCACCACATTGGTACCAGCATGTATTAGGATCTGGGGTCAGAAGGGTGGCATATTTTAAGCAGAGCTCTTTTTTTGTAGTCCAAGACTTATCAGCTGATTTCATAATCAGCTTCTACACTGAGTCAAGGAACTTCAGGGTTGGACAGAATCCTTACATTTATTATTTTTTCTTTTTTAACTTTATCCTTTACCTAGATTCCCCAAATGTCAACACCTCATATAACCACATTACAATGATCAGTATCAGGAAATTAACATTGATAGACCACTTTTATCATCTATCTAGTCAAAGTTGGTCATTTGCCCAATTTATGCCCTTCTTCTGAACCAGGGTCACACATGGGATTCAGTTGTCATGTCTCTTTAATATCTTTTAATTTGGATAGTTCCTCAATCTTTCTTTGTCTTTCATAAGCTTGACACCTTGAAGAGTACTGGCCAATTATGTCATAGCATAGCCCTCATTTGGGGTTTGTCTGAAATTTTCTCAGTTAATTCATTTTTGGAAGATGATGTTACATCCTTGTCAGTGATTGTATCAGGAGGCACGTGATGTTGCTGGGTTTCATTACTGGTGCCATTAATGCTGATCACTTAGTTAAAGCGATTTCCCCCACTTGAAAGTTATTATTTTTCCTTTCATAATTAAGTATATTGTGGGGAGAGACTTGTACATTATACACAGGTTATATACTTTTCATCATATGGTCACCCATTAATTTTAGCATCCATGGATAATTTTTACTACTGTGATGTTTGCCAAATGGTGACATTCTATTTCCATCATTCTGTCTGTATTTTATTAACTGGAATACAATTATTAAAAAAGAGCTTTCTCTTTCCACTATCAACAGGAACTCCTGGATTCTTATTTTATGCTATGGGAGATAATGTGTCACTGTCAATAATCTTTTTCTTTAAATTTTCTCATATTTGACCACCTGGAGACCTTTCAAGTTGGATCCTGGGTTCTCTGACATGTCTCCATCATTTTTAAGCACTTCTTGAAGGAATTTTCATCCATCTTTAATCTCACCCATCTCTAAATCACTTCATAGTGGCCCTGGCAAACAGTTGTTCAGCCTGTTAGACCAAATCCAGCATCAGAGAACCTTCGCCACCAGCACAGAGCTTTCTTCCTCCAGACAATTCTGATGGCCAAGTGTGTGTAACAGTCTTAGCTCTGTTTCCTCAGAATTCATAGCTATGCAGTGTGCAACAGATTAAGACTAAAGCTAATCCTGACCAAAATGTTAACCTTATTCATGGAGCTCATTAAATTAAATAACTCATCCAGAACTATAACCAGATGGCCCAGACATAACCTTGGGGTTTGACATTGCCAAAATGGCAGCTCATGCCTTCCCTTCCCTCAAAGCACCACATCCACTTAGATATCCTAAGCTGAGGCTCTACCTTGGTTACTGCTGTTAACTGCTGTCTAGTCCTTTTCCAGAAGTAAAGTCTGCACCTGCACCTGATGATAGCGCACCATGTCTTCCAGTTTTGCGTTTGTTAGTCCTATTTCCGGGACTAACAAACTTATACCTCCCATAACTAGGAGAAAATTGATGCCATGGGAATGTCTTATACCAAGATAGCATGTGATTTTTTAAAATTATATTAAAATTTGTAGTGTAATTCTTTCTTTCTGCCAAGTGCTTTGTGTTAAAGAAAATGAGTTCTTCATTTTCAATTTCAATTCCTTCAAATTGAAATTTGGTGATTTCAATTCCTTCAACAACTGTTGATGGAGTGCCACTATGTGCCACGCACTGTTAAATACAAAGATTTTACCATCTTTGTATTTTAAAAATTACAAAGATTAGTAAACTTGTCCTTGTCCTCAAAGAGTTCACAGTCCAGTTAAGGGACCAAGAAATGAATAAGGCACAACAGTAAAGACCACCCAGGGATTTCTGAGTGGATATCTACTTTAGCTGGACTGAGGTAGAGGAAACAGAAAGATCTCATAAGGCTACTTGGGAGGCAGAGGGATGGAGAGAAACAGGGAAGTAAGAAGCAGCATGTTCCGTGCAGGAAACTATAGAGTCTGCATGAGGTAGATAGCAGAGCTCCATGATGTGAACTGGATTGAAGTTTGCAATTTTGCTTTCCGAATTTTATTTTATAAAAGATAAACTTCATACTTTTTGAGATTTAAAAATATATAGGATAAATTTAAAAACATTTGTATTATTAAAATAATATGTTTATTATAGAAAATGGATACATATACAAAGTATTAAGGAGAGAAAATGCTCCTCCCGTCCCACCATTAATGGGTAAAGAATGTCTTTGAAAATCTGTTATTTCAAGTCCTTTTTCAAGGACCAGTTGCATCAGCAATACCTGGTGAGCTTATTTAAAAATACATATTTTTGAACTCTAATTACAAGGCAAATCTTCAGCCTCAGTTTCTTCATCCATAAAAATATTCTTTATCCATAAGGATATTCTTCCTTCATACGAATACAGATTTGTCAGGAAGATTAGGTGAAATGTATGCGAAGTGCTTAGCATTTTCCCTGACCCAGTCTAAGTGATGAACAACATCCGCTGCTGTTATTATTATTAGTATTACTTTTATAACTATTATTGGCCAGGCAAGTGTTACAAATACCATGTGTTCTGCTTTTCCTGAATGAGTAAAGAGCAACTGCCCAGAGGGGTGGCATTTCCCATCAGTCTTATATTTCATGTACAATAGGTGGCAGCAGAGCCTACATACATTGGCTCTGGTGGTCAAGAAAGGGAGATCATGGAATGGAACTCAAGGGAAATTAGGTCCTGTATGAAGAAGGGGCGCCTGTTAATGACATGCTTCTAATCCATGGAGAAAGATTCTAGATTGGACACAAAAGGGTTAGCCTTCTACTCTAAGATCTGCCATTTTTTAGGCTTTCTGGACTTACATCTGTTCATCTGTCAAATGAGTGCTTGATATTAGATGATTTCCAGAATTGCTTCCTTTTTTAAGACTTTATGCTTCTACTAACTGGGACTCTATAATCTTGCCCGCATTCTGTGTGCAGATGATATTGATTTATCATTTCATGCTGGACTTCTTTCCTCCCAAGAGTTATATTCCTCTATGCTAGAGTTTATCACTAAAGGAGACTAAACATAGTGAAGAGAAAGCCATTTTTACTTCCTAGTGAATGTGCAGTTGCTCTATAATGGATGGCCAAATATGTGTTACATTTTCACTGCTATTTAACTCACACATCCACTCCATTGCTTAATATTCTTCTTTTATTCTGGGTATGCCTTCCAAAAACAGTGGTTATTCATGACTACTCAGATTACAGCTAAAGTTTAGAACTTTGATATCTATGTTACCTGTAATGAATCTGTAAAAGAGCAAATGACTTTCGGACTCCCATTTCCTTTCCTGCCCACCCCCAGTTCATCTGAAATAGGCTGAAATACCTGTTGCTCTTATCATACTCTCTTTCCTCGAGGCTTCTTTCTGTAGTACAAATATGTACCTTTTAAACAGCAACCACCACCATTGAACTTTACTGAAGGTTTATCAGGTACTATTCTAAATGCTTTACCTACAGCATCTCATTAAATTCTCACAGCAATCCCATGAAATGATGAGAGACAAAAGCACTGCATGGTTATTATTAGCTGATTTCTCTATCTTTTCTTCAAAGCCATTCTTTCCATGCCCATTCCAAAGTTATTTACCAGACTGTAGCCCAAACCTGTAACATACTTCCCATGCTCTCCACCAAACTTACACAAAACTTACTTCCCAAAGTCTCACGATTCAGTGTATTTCTCTTATATTTCTAATTTCACCTAAAATGGTATACTTTCTCATTTTTGCTTCTGTATTATTAGTTTAATAATATTAGTTTCATATTCAGTATCCTTTATTTCCTATTATTGTCTTGTCATATGCTGTTCACTTTTGAAACCTCAGATGACACACATTTAATTATCTTAAGAATCCCTGACTTTAGTATAGAATTAAAAATTATTTCTAGATTACATGTACGCTCACTATAGAAACTTTAGACAAGACAGAAAACAACGAGAGTAAAATATAAATGCCAGTATTTAGGTAACAACAATTAATATTTGGGCACAGAGCTGTCATTTGCATAATTGAGATGATACAGTATAAAAATGTTTGGGGTCGTAACAATTAGGTAGAAATGACAAATCTTTTCATTGCTTTATTTGCCAAGATATAATATAGCTCTAATAACAATTGTGTATATGAGCTTTTTAAAAAATAACAATTCTATTGACCACACTTCTCTGCCTATTCTATTTACTATCATAATCTACTTCCAATAAGTATAGAAAAATCCATTTAACAGGAATGAAACTATTCTTATTTTGAAGCTCTAAATAGTTAAGTGGAAACTTTAAAATATTTATCTTTTAAGGAAAAACGAGCACTTGCCTTCATCTCCATCATCCCCGAATGGGTAGAAGAGAGCAACAGCTAAATTGATGAACACAGCCAGGTTGAAGGAAATGCTCCCCCAGAGAGAGATGTGCCTCGAGAACCAGAACAGTGCAGGGTTATCTAGGAAATGAGAGGTGTAAAGGAACAGAACAGAAAAATAAATTTTGGTTTCAACACATGAGGCTTACCAAAACAATATTTTACTAAATGAATCATTTTTGTAAACTATTATAAAAACCTATTTAAATAAATATTTGACTTGAGTAAGTTTATCAAAAACAATCAGAACCGTAAAGGAGTGAAATTTGATTCCTTTTTTCATCCTTCAGCCAGTTTAGGCCTAAACTACTGTAGAACGGTGAGGAATTTTGCAGTCGCTAAAGGTGGTCAGAAAAGGTGATTCTGTAATAATTCTCTGTAATCTATCCACAGAGCAGTTCAGCAGTTGCCTGGGGTCCCTTTTAATGAAATGATATACTTCATTGTATAATTTGGTAGTATTGATAAATTGGTCCCACTCCCATGCCTTAAAGTCAAATAAAGAAACTCCAAACCCATAGCACAGATATATTTCTAATGAAAATTCCTATGACACAGTCACAGTTACCTGAAACTATGAAACCTAATCATGAGACACAGTACTCCTGATAGGGAACTAGTGATTTATAATATTATCTACATTTTAAACCTTAAATCTTCCTAAGAACTTGTTGGGTTTGAAACAGCAGAAGAAAATGAGCACTACAATAAAAACTGCTAATAAGTGCAACAGGCTTTGCTGAATATATTCAACAAAGGACTCTGTGTCTGTCATCAGAAATGAATTACTAAATGCATCAATCGAATACAGTTTACATTAACCAAAAATCAGTTCTTTCCACCTCTGTTAGATAACTGAACAGATTTGTAATGCATGTAAGTTTGAATGAGAGCCAAACTTACTAGCCTGCCCTGGGCACTCACATGGCTCCTATAGGTCTTGTTCATTCTCTAACTTTTAAAAACTTAACACCAGGATTAAAAAATGTAAGTTAATCAAGGGGGAAAGGCACATTGATTTTCAAATGGAAATGATAAACTTTGTAGATAAATCCTGTGAATTTCAACCTAGTGCCTATTGCCTACTTACAAACTGTACTTCTCTTCAGTACATCTTGTTTTCCTTCTCTTGGAAGGGAACATTCCAATGCTGAAATATGCTATGATTAGCTATGCCATTTAATTGACTAATGTACCATAAACTGTAAACATCTGCATCTCCATCATTCCTCAATTAGGAGTCCTCGTTTTTAAAGGTAGACTATTAAGACAAAATTAGAAGATGTTGATGCATGCATTTGTAATCACAAATCCTCACTATTGAATCCACCAAATGAATTAGATTCTGCCTATGGCCTCATAATAAGCTGTTTCCAAATTTTAAAGTAGAATGTACATTGAAAATTATTTTAAGAATTAATTTTTGGTAAATGACAAAATACTTATTTTTTTTAAAAGCCCAGACCCCCCCCCCCCCCAAAGCACTAGTTCAGTATTCACTTTATTGTCAAGGAGAAAATATATGTGTTTTTTGTTTTGTTTTGTTTTTTGTTTGTTTGTTTTACTGAGACAGAGTCTCGCTCTGTTGCCCAGGCTGGAGTGCAGTGGTGCAATCTTGGCTCACTGCAACCTCTGCCTCCTGGTTTCAAACGATTCTTCTGCCTCAGCCTCCCAAGTAGCTGGGACTACAGGCGCATGCCACCACGTCCAGTTAATATTTTATATTTTTAGTAGAGATAGGTTTTCACTGTGTTAGCCAGGATGGTCTCAATCTCCTGACCTCATGATCTGCCTGCCTTGGCCTGGCAAAGTGTTGGGATTTACAGGCATGAGTCACCATGCCTGGCCAGAAAATGTATGTTTTTTAAATGCTCTAAATGAAATCGTGTCTTCATATGTATTTTAGACACCCAAAATTTTCACTGAATTCCATAAGGCTCTACATGGTAAATTGCTAAGGGAGAATAATTTTGATTTTTTAAAAAACATTCTGTTTTAAAAGCCTGAAAATGTATACCACACCCCTATACCTAAAGATATTTCTCAAGCACCACTCGAATTCATAAATCATACCTACTAAAGTTCCTGAAAACTAGCATAATGAAATACTGTTGAATAGAAGTATTGAGAACATATCCTGTTTGTCTAGAAAACTCCAAGGGACTGAAAAAGACCTACTCAAGAGTTTCCCCCACTGACTTTTGTGAAAAACTCATGAGATCCCTTATCTTGGAAAATAAACTAAAGTTTATTTAAAAACTCTAAAATTTTAAATTTTAAAGTCAGTGTTTCCTAATAGATTTGGGTCCTAAGAGATAAGTCATGGGAACTGTACTAAACTGATTTTTTAACTGGAATATTATAACATTGCTCTATTTAAATACAAGTGTCATGACATGTACAGCTTTTTTGGTGAGAGGAGGTAAAGATATGTTCAAAGAAAGAATTACTCTCAGCAAAACATGAAACAAACCCCTCAATCTTAGGACAATAGAGGAAGAGTGTGCAGGAGCTGATGTCTCTCAGTCCTATTCACTGATAGGCCAGTCAGGGCCCACTCACGGGCTTCAAACCTGCAGCTGTTCAACATTTGAAAACGTATAGCTGCAACCCTGCATTTCATAATATTTATTAAAAAAATAGGATCATCATGAAGAGTTGATGTAATTAGTTAGGGCTTTCTGTTTTCCTTAAGCTGCAGGTGTCTTGGCTCCAGTGGTAGACTAAGCGGACACCCTTAAGCCTGAAAGTGATTTCAGTATGTCAGACTGGCAAGAAATTAAAAAACAATTTAAATGAGCTGTATCATGTGTCCCAAAGTACCAAATTATCTACCACTACGCACAAAACTGACCATTTCAGTTTACTGTACTTACTCCTGATTTTCTTTTGCCACTTCATTTCATTGTAGAGATCTTCTGTTTGCTGGAAAAAGTCATTCACTTTACTTCCTTGTTCATCCCTTTCAGTTGTATTGAACACACGGCACTTGGATTCTCGAGTGAGGTATTCACATATATTGGGGACAGGAAAAACTATTTGTTCCATGGTCCTATCATGCCGGACAATCTGAAAACATTAATTTGCATTGTTTTTAGCCTTTTAGACACCTCAGCCTTAGACTTGCTTTTGTTTTTAACATGAGTTTACTGATGTTTTATGAACTCAGTTGTGAAAAAATATGCCAACTTGAAATATCTGAAAGAACCCTTTTTACTATACTACTTTGCATTTTTCTCTTAAAAAAGAGAAATTAATTGACTAATATATCAAAAACACTATACTTTGTTTAAAATAACAAAAACTAAAAACCTTTTATTCTTTCTGGGTTAGCATTATGCTTCTGCCACCCATTTTTATTTTTGTGAAGTACATCCTAAAACTAAGACAGTCTTAATTAGAAAGTGATTGGCTGGGTAGGCTTAAATATAGCACTTATACTATTTGTATCTTGTTCTTAGCCTCTTTGTCCTAAAAGGGGCTTTCGGGTAACAAATGACGTATTCAACATTATGTGTCTGAACTCTACAGAGAAAAGTGCTTTATATCATTAAAATGTTCTCTTACTCATGGCAAAACATATTTTTGTAGGTACAACATCCATGTAAACATATACCCATATTTAAATACTCATAATTTTGAGCCTCCCTTATTTGTTATTTGTGACTGTTTAACTTTAGACTAAAAAAAAAAGAAAAGGCTGACTATTTTCATACAGCTTTACTATGTAACAAGGGTTCACATAGCCTAAATTTCAAGGTTCACATTTACGTACAGTGCCCAGTTCTCAGGAATGAATAAGGACTGGCTTAACCCAAAAGAGTAACTCTGTTCCCTTTGCTACTGATTGGTGTGGTGGTGGTCATGGGCTGTACCTCTAGAAAGTGAGGCATAAAGATAAATCTCCCGAAAGGGCTTCCAGGAGAGATTTTGCTTGTTGGTAAAGGCAGAGAGCCATAAGAGACACACAAAACAACAACAGCAACAACAACAACAAAAACAAAAATGAAAACCAAATACACAAAAACAAAAGTTTTTTGTTTGTTTGTTTTTGTTTCTTTGGTTTGCCTGTACCATCTTTCTTCTTGCTTAGAACAAAAGGGTCTAAGGGCATGATGCTTGGAACTCTAGAAGCCATTTTGCAACCATGAGGTGAGATAGTGTCAGCATGATAAGGAACCTAGTACAAATATGTGAAGAGTTTGCATATTTTAAGACATCACTGAGTCACTGAATCAATTATAGAACTGCTGGTACTCCAGACTTCCCATCAGATAAAATTTTACTGTCTAAACAATTGTCAGTGTGGTATTCTATTAAACTTGTAACTGAAGGTATCCTAAATGATATGTGATATATTCAATTACATACTAGAATACTGTCATAAAGCAAACTACATGAAATTTAGTAAGGTAAATGAAAATTCCTGGATATAGGTTACTAAAATCAATTGTACAAAATAATTGGACACATTTGGTATGACAGGCAACCATATGGGGAAAAAAGGTTTACTTGATCCAATAGTGTCAATATTATTTTAAAAATCTCAGGGTGCATCAAAGAAATCGTGTCTAGAGTATTATAAGCCAAGTTCTTCAGTCCTTTTATGAAATGTTACATTTGATTACAGTTGCCACATTTTGCAAACAGCATGGACAAACTGGAGGGATTACTGAAGGAAATGGAGGTGTGTTAACCGCAAAAAACCAGAGATGGATAATTTTTCAATACATTTATTCAACAAATGCTTATTCAGTCTTTAGGTGAGGCATGTTGGAGAAAAAACAACACGAACCCCAATGGGTAAGAGCTTGTAGTTTAGTAATCATGATGGCTCTTCAGATGTTAGAATCAAGCTATTATGTTGAGGGGGAAAAAAGTTCTGAATGTAAATATTAAAATGGGCTAATGTTAATTCTTTATTTAAAAAAAAGTTTCTAATTATTAGAGTCATTCAAAATCAGATCAGTTTCCTTGTGATGTAGTGAGAACTCTATGGCAGGAAGAATTTAAAGCAGAAGCAGATTATTACAGGGTAATATCTTCTTAGATGGGTGATTAGACACGAGGCTCTTCCTATTTCCCAGGGTCTTTAAGTCTATAACTTGCAGACAAACTATTATTCTCAATAACATGAATTGTTGTGGTTACGTTCAAGGCACAGGGTTCAGTTTTGGAAATACAAAGATGACCAAGACCAGTCCCTGCCTCAAGTAAAGGAGAAGTGACCTATATGAAGCTAGTAATATTCCAATGTGATAAATATTAAACTAACAGAATAACCAAACTGCTATGGAAGCATACACAGTGAGATGAAATTAATGAATGCCTGGAGAAGGGAGGAAGGCCTCTCTGAGTAGGTCATGTGAGCTGGCTTTGGATGAACATGAGAACTGATCAATGAGTTCATCAGCCTGGACCACTCCTTTGAAACCTGGACTTGTATATCGAACTCCATGGATGACTCAAAGTCACCTCGAATTCAATCTATCCAATAATGAACAAATAATCTTCTTCTACCTTTTAGCTACCAAACTTCACTCTCTCCTAGCATTCTCATACATGGCACCAACTTTTGCTCATTTATTCAAATGAGTAGCCCGAGGACATCCTTTTGCACACCATTCTCCTAACATGTGCAATTCAACTTCAAGCCCTGTCAATATGTATATGTATATGTGTGTATTTACTCTCTCTCTCTCTATATATATATCACTATATAGAGATGTACATGCATGTATCTATATATATGTATTTTCCAGTCCAGCCATCTTCAATATCATCTCTCACATTTACCATTATAATATCTTTCTATCTGATCTATGTGTGTTTTCGATCCCACTCTCTTTTCCAGTCTTGTCTCCAAACAGCAACCAGATTGATCTTTTGAAAATAGTCATCTCCTTCCTGTGTTTTTTACCTTCCCTTCACTTACTTTCTTCTTTCTGAAATCCCCTTTCTGAAGGAGAAACTCATACTCAATCTTTAATACATTCTTAAAGGTAACTTCTCAGTGAAATCTATCCTGAAATTGCTCAGGCACCACTAATTATTACTTTCTCTACATTTCCTTGGCCCTTTGTTTATATACTTATGACACAGAATTATCTTCTATATGTGTGAACTGGTAGAGAGCAAGTGCTCAGTAAATATTTACTGAATGTGTGTATTTATAGCTAAATCTCTCCTCACTGCTGGAATCAATAAAACAACATCAAACAACAGCTCCCATCTCTCACAGACATTAACCAAACTTCTCTCCATGGCCTGCTCACTCTATTTCCTATTCCCTGGTCTCTTCTGATCTCCTAGCTTGGTACTTTGACTTCTGGGATCTTCTTTAAGAACTTCATGGTTTGATGACCTATTTCTACTTGTACAGAGATTTTTTTCCTGCTAGTCCAGCTCATGGGTTCCACTAAGTTAAGTCCAACACCAAAGCTGTGGTACTATTAATGTTTACAAATGTGAGCAAAGTATCCATTTCTGTGACACAAAGGTTTGGCAACAGTAAACAATACAGTGTAGGGGTTATATATCCCGAGAGTGAACACAGTGATGCCCATTATACACTCTGCTGAAAAGTAAAAAATATCTGCCAAAATGAATGAATGTATAAACGTAAATTATAGGAGTGACAAGCGTCAACTACTCTGCTCACTTCTGCCTGATTAGCTCTGCCAGCCAGTGTCAAAATGATACCATAGCTAGTAAATGTCAGCCAGATGGGTCTCAGAACACATAATGACAAGTCCATTTTGACCCACACCTCCTGAACTGCCACCAACCATTAAATAATGTCTCATTTATGAGGGTCGGGGGAGGTCAATTGCTGCATACTGAAAATGGAAACTGTTAAACCTTTCCAAGGCTATGGTATCATATGAAAACTGTATTAGTTTCTTTCATGTTTACTCCACTTGTGAATTGTTGGAGATCTCTATTTTAATAAGCCTTCCACAATTTTAAAAAAGAAACCTTTCCCTGAATGAAGGCTTCTATTATAATAATCCCATCTCTCAAACACTACTGCTCTGCAATGATTAATTGCTTCTATGGTTAAAAAAATCTACTAATTACAAAAGAAATTTTACATATAGTCTTAGTAAAAAGACAACTTTGAAAGATGTACACCTCATTTTCCTATACATCACTGCTCACACATCCTTTTACTATACATTTTTCAGTTTAAACCACTCAATTCTGCATCATTGCTCTAGAAAAAAATATGAAAATGGTCTAAAATAGAAAGTAAGCATAACTTTTCACAGTTGGTCCCTTTCAATAAATAGTAGATGCTTACCTCAATCTGTGCAGTGTGGTTGGCATAATACTTTAAGGCTTCATCTCCTTCATCTGGATCTGATCCTGGTTTGAGCATCTGCTGCAATAGTTTATTGTGGCGGGCCAACTACAGCGGGGAAAAGATAAAGGTTTTAGGTCCCTTTTTACCCTTTCCTGGGGTCGAACTTTGAAATAACTTTGTCTACTTGTACACATAGCTTCACAGTCCTAGGGTTAAGGACAATTAGTTACACTTCAGGAAAGCATGTCTGTATTTGAAAGGCAGAGATAATGAAATCACAATGATCAGCCATTAATATTTGTTGATTAACTTTATGTCTTCAGTAAATATATGATTGTACCAGGAAGAAGAAATGTTCCCAGTGATACATAATTGATACTGTCTATAGTAAATTTAAACTACATACACATAAAAACAAAGTGATCAACAGTACAATAAATCAGTGAGTAGTGGGAACAATATAAATGTGTGTTTTTCCTACACACACATAAATAGGCATCTGTATTTCAGAAGAGTTTCTCTTATAGCATGTAATCTAAGCTCTACATTAGTAGTTGGTATAAAGTCCTATGTTTCTGCAAGTTTGTAAGCCAAAATTAGTGCTTTCTGTGTATAGATCTTGATTTTATTGTCATTGAAATTGGGCATTTAAAAAAGCAAAAATTTCACCATAAATTATTTTAAACTGCTGGTGGTGGAAGTCATCTTTCTCTCTCATTTGAATGTCTACAGCATTTGCTGGCTAGTTCTCTCACTGTGTACATTAGTAATACATGTTGCCTTCAGATGTCTCTTTTATGGTTGTCTCGAGCAATTCCTGAAATCTTGCAATGTCTTTCACTTATCAAATATCCTATTAATGCTTAAATTTCCTGAGGGCTTCTACTAACAAAGACTCTACCACAGAACTCTCTCACTCCTAGCACAGTGCCTGCCTCCAACTCCATGCCAGGTACTAATTCTAAGTACTTCAAGTACATGATCTTACTTGAACCTACTAAGAAATTCAGTGGTAGGCACTCTTTATTATTGCCATTGACAGATGAGGAAACTGAAGCACGGAGAGTGTGAGGAACTTGTTTGTGATAACATAGCTAGAAAATGGTAGAGCCAGTATTTTATCAATATTATAGAGCGATAAGTTTTCCTATGATTCATGAGATCTTAATACAAACTGTGATTATAATTATGGAGATGAATTTTAAATAATAATTCAGAACCTAGAAAACCAAATGAACATTATCCTTATAAGTGATAATTTGGTAAGCTAAATATTCATTACACTGATGTTGCTCTAGAGCAAATCATTTTGAAAATTGTTATTTCAGAATTGGTTTTCAGGGTCATTAATCAATCACTCAAAAAAACCATTTCCTATTTTCTATTTATGTTTTTTTGAACTAAATTTGAATTATACACATTTTTATTACAAACCATAGTCATGAAACTTGTTGTGACTTATAGGGGTTTCTAAAAATCTCAATGAGTTTGAAAGCATAAAATTACTGTAATCATTTAGGTACCTCAGCATGTTTTAAGAAGTGGCCAGTTCTTGAAGGCAAAACTGGCATGATTTCTTTACTGATTGGATCTGGGGCATGAAAGAAAGAGAATTAAGGATGATTCCAAAGTTATTGACCTGAGCAATTAATAGTTTAGAAATGTCATTTACTAAGAAAAAATGTAGGAGGAGTACATTTAGCAGGATAAAATCAGGACTTTGTGGACATGTGAAGCTTTAGACGAGGAGTGGGCTATTGGATTTGTTTGCCATTTACTAAGAAAAAATGTAGGAGGAGTACATTTAGCAGGATAAAATCAGGACTTTGGTTGTGGACATGTGAAGCTTTAGATGAGGAGTGGGCTGTTGGATTTGTTTGTCAGGAATTCTGGGCAGAGGTCAGGGCTGGAGCTGTGCATGGAGAGTATATGGCTGATACTTAAAATCATGAGCCTTAGTGAGATCACCTAAAAGTGAGCTTAGACAGAGAAAGGAGCTCCACGGAACTCCAATATAGGTTAGTAAGAGAAAAGACACCAGCAAATTAGACTAAGAAAGTTGGTTAAGCAAGGTAGGAACAAAACCCCACGCAGCCAGGTGTATTGCAGCCAAGGGAAGAAATAATTTCAAGAGGGAGGGAGTGATTATCTGCGTTAAATGCGGCAGGTAAGTCCAACCAAATGAGGACAGGGAAATGTCATTTGGTTTAGCAACTCAGAAATCACTGAAAAGCTTCACAGCAGCAGTTTTAGGAAGTGGTGGATACCAAACTTAATTGTAGTGAGTTTAAAAAAGAATGGGAGGCGAGGAGGTATATACAAGGAGAGTGAGTAGAAACAACTCTTGAGGACTGCAGGTGTGAGGGAGAGCCAAGAAATAGGATGGCAGGTGGATAAAAGGGCAGGGATAAAGGTGGATGTTTTAAATACGGAAAATAGAACATCGTGTTTGTTTGGTTTTGAAAGGGACTATTCACTAGAGCAACATCTTGACTAGGTGAGAGTGGAATGATCTAGAACATTTGTAAAGGGGTTTGCCTTAGATAGGAATAAATTTACCCTTAGAGACAGCAGGGAATATGGGCACAGATTCAGGAGGTTGGGTGGTTGTGATGATGGGAACACTGAGAAGTTCTTTTCTAGTTACTTTTTTTCTCAGTGCAGTAGGAAGCTGATAATGAGGACGAGAGAGGAGGTGTTGGATAACTGATGAAAAGCAGCTATAAAATAGCTAGGGAAAGTACATGGACTTGGAAATACAGTAGTACTGCCAGGAAGCCTTAAGGGTCTCCCTTATGTTATGGTCAAAGGGAGGCCAGGAACCATATTTGTGTGTTTTTCTCCGGCAATATTCAGCTGCCTGGGTAAAGTCATGGAGTACAAAGAGAGTTGTAAATAATGAGATCTATAGTTTTGTTGGGTAAGGTCAACAACACATAAAAAAGAGATACTTAAATACTGGAACTCTTTAAATCTTACATAACTGATAGTCTCCCAAGGTGAGACAGTAATTTGAATAATTTCTCCTAAGTTTATTTATTAAAAAACTTTTACTTCTTTATGATCACTTCATAGGGTCAAAAATTGCTGCAGTTATTTTAAGAAACCAATAATGTTATTTAATGTAATAGTAAACAGATCTATACAAATCATTTTCAGTTAGTATATCCTGCTTAATAGAAACATTTGTGGGCCTCTCTTCCTCCTGTTGACTTAATGACATGATTCTGCATTTGTCTTGTTTTATTGCAGAGAAGAGGCATTCTAAAAGGGACTCAAAAAAAAAAAAAAAAAAAAAGAACAAAAAAACAAAAAACACCCACCTAGGCCTCCCTTCACATGTTCAAAGTATTAGAACAATATTTTCATTCATGATTAGATAAGCCATCTTTACATATCTTTGAAAATTTGAAATATATAATTGAAAAAGAACAATACAAACAAAACAGAGAAAACTTCACTGTTTTTTTCTACCTGGAAATCTTTCATATTCTTTGTAATAGAGGGTCTTGACTAATGAGGCTTATTTGCTCCTCCCTGTTCTGTGTTCTGATAGCGCCCTGCACATATCTATATTATGAAATTTCTCATATTGTATCTGAGTAACTATTATTTCTCTCCAGTGGTCTGTGACATCCTCAAATAAAGGGCCTAGTCTTACTCATCTCTTTGTTCTCGGCACCAAAAACAGAACTTGATACATAAAATAGACTCAATAAATATTTGTTGAAATCAATGAAGAAATGGGCTAGTTAGTAACATATATTCATAAATTTAAAGTGGACAACAACTCTTAAGCCTCAATGAATTATCTCTCTGTTTCATCCTCTGTAAAGAAGAAGGGCAAATAAATCTGATTAGAAATCAGACAATGGTACAAATTCCAGTATTTGTAGAAAGAAAATATTTTAATATTTTTTCTTGTTTGATAGTTATTTATGTACTCATATGTATTCCGATAGATTATAAGCTATTTGGAGGAAGGAAACAACCATTTTTAGTGGCATCCTTTATTATCTATTTCACATTCATCTTCTTACCATTAGGATTTTAATGTTCATTTCAGTTTGGGTCCAAGTAAGGACAAGGTAAAAAAAAATCAAGAAACTACACTTTGATGACATTCAATAATAATTATTTCTTAGTACTTTTCATCTGTGTTTTTTTAATGTGAGTTCCACTTTTATTGGGTACCCAATCAATGTTGAATGGAACCCTATATGATAAAGCAAGGATAGCATTCCTATTATATAGACAAAATGCAAAAGAATTAAGGAATATCTTGATGATTGTGAAATGCATAAAAATGACTGATATCAATACAGAGCTTTCCTGGTCCAAATTAACAGTTTACTGAAAGCACAATACAATGTCTTAGAAGCCAATTAACATATGCCCAATGGTTTTTAAAGGATTTAGTGCCCTATACATGTGATCTGATTTAAAATATTCTGTAGAATGAACGCACTGCCAACCAAAGATATTCGGTTGTCTTAGTGATGGACTCTTTAGCCACATTTGTCTACTCCACACTTTTATATGCCACGTATCCTTTCATATGACTTAAAAAAAAAAAAAAAGAAAAAAACCCCAGCATCCAAAGCAGCAATCACACCATTTACTATTATGTGCTTTGGAAACCAAAGGTAAAAATACCTGGTAAGTTTCTGCACAAGTATGGCACATCTGTGGAGAGTTGTAACAATAAGAAATCTAATTTAGAACCTAATTAAAAACTGAAAAACTGCTAATGAAGATATTCAAGGACTGCTGTCTTAACGATAGCCAACTTTACTATTGACAAAGATGCTCCCAACAGGACTTGAAATTAGCTGATGTCACTATACAAACATGTTCCAGAAAGCCAACCAACAATCAATATTAATGATAATGAGAGTCTGAATTTGGGCAACTGCATTGAATGTTAAAAGGGGGAAATGCCATGGGGGGAAATCTCTGGGTCTTAGAAATACTTGTATTCCACAACAATCTTTATGAGCCAAAATGGTAGCAATTGTTTTATATATGGTGCACAAATGATGCCCACCCAGTTAGTATGCAGTTTCAAAAGAATTTTAGCAACAAGGAACACTTATTAGGTCCTT